TCTCTCTCTCTCTCTCTCTCTCTATATATATATATAATATTCGCTTTTCTTATATATCTTTTCTTGCATGCCTGAAAATCTTCTTTAAGATGTTCAGAAGGTATGTAAAGTGCATAGTACATGGGATGCATAATATTATGGTGAATCCCTTCGGTGCTGGGAAAAGGCTTGTTGCACGGAGGAATGGTGTTCTCAGTATAGTCCTTATTCTCTGTTGAGGAGTTCAGTTGCTTTCTTTATCGAAATATTTGTATTTAGAGGTACAAATCATTAATAAAAGTTATTATTTTGGCATCTTGAAGGAATACACCAAAGATCATTGAGGTTTTGAGCTCCGATGGTTCAAGCTGCAGCCAGATACCATCCTCTAGAGCAGATCCACTACAAGGTTTGTGAGCTCATGCCATTTCCTGTCAAGAAGAATATTAGAGAAATTTCTATCCTTATAAATTACCCTCTTTATAATAAAAGGGCATTACTTTTAAGAATTGATAGTCAAATCCTCGTTGTTTTTATTTCTTCTTAAATTAAGGACTGGAAAAATACAACAACAACATCAAGTCTTTATCCCACTATGTGGGGTCGGCTACATGAATCCTTTTTCTTCATTGTGTCCTATTAAAAGTCAAATTCTCGTTTAAATCTAATAAAGAAAGGTCATTCCTAATATTTTCTAACCAAGTCTTTTTAGGTCTACCCCTACCTTTCTTAACATAAGTCAAATCTAATACCTCTACTCTCCTAACCGGGTCATCGAAAGGCCGTCGTTTTATGTGGCCAAACCATCTAAGGCGACTCTCTCTAATTTTATCTTCTACTGGAGCTACTCCAACCTTTTCATGTATATGTTCATTTCGTATCTTATCTCTAAGGGTAAAGCCACTCATCCACCTGAGCATCCTCATCTCTGTCACACTTAACTTAGTATTATGCTTCTCTTTTAATGGCCAACATTCGGCACCATAAAGCATTGCAGGCCTCACTATCATCTTATAGAATTTTCCCTTAAGTTTGAGGGGTACATTTCTATCACATAACAAGCCCGATGCATTCCTCCACTTCAATCATCCAACTTGAATTCTGTTGATAATATCCCCATCTATTTCACCATCACTCTGAACAATAGATCCAAGATATCTAAAATGTGTACTCTTATTAATGACTTGATCGCCCAAAGTCACAATCCCTTCAGTAGGTCTATTACTACTAAAATTACACTCCATATATTCTGTTTTAGATCTACTCAAGCGAAAACCTTTAGACTCTAAGGTTGACCTCCATAATTCAAGTTTACCTTCAACTCCCTCTCTAGTCTTATCAACAAGAAGAATATCATCAGCAAAAAGCATACACCAAGGTACATCCTCTTGCAAATGTCTAGTGAGAACATCCATGACTAAAGCAAAAAGATATGGGCTTAAGGCTGATCCTTGATGTAACCCAACCGAAATAGGGAAATACTTGGTCAATCCACCTTGTGTTTGAACACAAGTAATAGCTCCTGCATACATATCTTTAATGATTTGAATATAAGCATTATTGACTCCTTTCTTTTCAAGAACTCTCCATAGCACTTCTCTTGGAACTTTATCATATGCTTTTTCTAAATCAATAAATATCATATGTAGATCCTCCTTATTTTCTCTATATTTCTCCATCAAACCTCTTAATAAATGTATGGCTTCCATAGTCGACCTACCCGGCATGAATCCAAATTGATTTTGAGAAACATTAGTATCATGCCGCAACCTATGCTCCATAACTCGCTTCCATAGTTTTAAAGTATGACACATTAACTTAATACCTCTATAATTTGCACAATCTTGTACATCACCTTTATTCTTAAAAATATGAATTAACACACTCATTCCCCACTCATCTGACATTTTTTTAGTCTTCAAAATAGTATTAAAAAGTTTAGTAAGCCATGAAATTCCTTCATCTCCTAAGCATTTCCACACTTCTATTGGAATATCATCAGGTCCAACAGTTTTTCCACCCTTCATTTTCTTTAAATCCTCTCTAACTTCAGTTTTACTAATACGCCGATAAAAACAGAAATCTTTATTTTCATTTAGGGTGCTAAGGTCATTATAGTCAATCTTATTTTCACAATCTTCATTAAAAAGTTTAGCAAAATATCTCATCCATCTTTGCTGAATATCATCTTCTAAGAAAAGTATTTTTTGATCTTCATCTTTAATACACTTCACTTGAACTAAATCCTTACTACTATCTCTTTGTTTGGCTAACTTATGCATATATCTTTCTCCCTCTTTAATATCTAATCTATTATATAAATCACTAAAAGCTAATGTCTTTGCATCGCATATTGCTTTCTTAGCATCCTTACGAGCAAATAGAAACAACATAATTTAAAAAAAAAATAGTGAATACTCTCAATTAAGAGAATATATTATGTAATAGTAATAAATTGTTTATTAACCACTAGCTTTCCATTATGCTAAATCTCTTTGATAAATATTTATTAACTGCTAACTTTACATTATCATAAATCTCTTTGATAACCACGGTATTTTTTATTTCACATTTTTCTCTTTTTGAGTGCAATTAGGGGGTTGGCTAAAAATATTAGTTGAAACATGATTTAATCTAAGTTTCAAATGATTTCTAAATTGATTCGAGTCTTTTTGATTTTTTGCTTGATTTTTTTTTAGTTGATTTTTTTAGCATAGCTGTTTGCTCAAAAGTTTATTCTTGTTAATCATTTTCATAATCATAGTGATATGTTGCTTACTACATGCTAATTATAGAATCGATCAAAATCAAGTGAAAAGAATATCAACTATTGCCTTGCCTATATTTCAGAGTGATGAATTTCTCCTTTGTGCTACAGGAACTTGTGCTTCCTTGCACCATTCTTGCCCAAAAGTTAGACAAACTTAGGCGCTGGGAGGAGCCAATTTGGACTTTATCCTTCCTTGTGGTTGTATATGTTCTTATATTTAGGTAAGCTACAGTTAGTTTTGATATCTTACGTTCAACTTGTTTAAATGCTATGTTAGGCTAGGATTCAAGGTTTTTGTGTGTGTGTGTGTGTGTTTATAAAACTTCAATCTTTAGAACATAGTAAAACAATTACTTTGTATTTTATTCTGGTAAAATTAATTTTAGTGCTTAGCATCTGATTATGGTTTGTTATGGCCTTTTCTAAACGAGAAATGCTATTCATATGGCCTTTTTGGTGCATGATATGTATAGCTGTCCTTTCTAAGCATATAAAATCAATTGGATTTGCTGGAATTGTAAGATTTATTTTAGCTATGGGTACATGTAGCAAGTACTGTTACCTTAGCAGAAACATTGCCAGAATATGGGAATTTTCTGCAGCTGAAATCTTATGCAGTTTTGGCAAGGTGTAGTTATTTAATGTTTATCTGAATCGAGAACTGGATTCTGGAAATTCATTCCTCAGTTTGAGTCTGAGGCTGTATTTTGCAAATCCACGTTTCTATGTCCATTTGAACACCGTTCAGTATGTAACGCAATGTCTTTCTATTCATTTACTAATTTTCATAATCATAACTTTGCTAATACATCCTTTTCTACTGCTCTTAGTAGAAACCTACTACCCTATGCATTCCCTGTGATGCTGGTTATCAGCTCTGCTACTATGCTACTGCTGAAGGGCCTGAAAGAGCAAGGCAGATTGGGAAGATCTTTTGGCAAAGTAACAATACGTGATCAACCACCCTCGAACACAATCCAGAAAATTGTAGCTCTTAAAGAAGCTATTTCTGATATAGAAAATCGTCTTCAGAGTCTGAACATTTCACTTCTCAAGTTTAGGACAATTGTTTTAGCAGGCCAACCTGAGGTATGCTGCAAATTAAACTCTTTTTTTGTTTGTTATTAGCACACAAAGATTCATAACTTTATGCGGCCTTCCGTTCTATTTGAAAAACATCAGAAAATTCTGGTGTTTTATCTCCAAAAAAATCCGAAAGTTCTGCTATTAAATTTGCAATAAAATCAGAATGGTTTCCTGAATAGACCATAAAAAGTCTGATCTGAGACGAATGAGAACATTATGAGTTGAAGGCCTATATTAATGAACATACTAGAGATAATATCCATGCCTTATACTATTTATGATGCGAAAGTAGGATTTAACTTCAAAGTCACCATATTCATATAATTCTAATTATTTGAAAGTGTATTTTTATTGTGTTGTTTAAAATGCATATGGTTTTCCGCTCATTATGTATGTTGATTCACCATTTTTCTGAAAGCTTACTCTTTAGAAGCCTCTCTTCATCAAATTCATAGTGATATGGTCTGTTTGAATGATTTGACTAGAAACATAATTTCAGTGTTTTTTGCTTTATGTCAGTCTGAAAATTCAAAGTATGTATATATTCCAAGTATATAGAGTATGCATTACTAGGCAGATATCTTGTAGTTTTGCTTGTCAAACATGCTGCAAAGAAAATGTTGACTTGGTGGTTACTTTGTTTTTTTACTTCCTATATGACACTAGTAGTGAAGTCAATTTTGGAAAATTAAGCGTAAGAGAAATAGGGATGTTTTAATGTGTGATAAATTATAAAAGATAGATTAGGAAATGATTATATTGTATAGACAACAATGGTAGCTTCTATTAAAGTTAAGTTGGACGTGTATAAAGAATAGTTGATAAAACTAATAACGAAGCATCAAGAAAGATAAATTATAGAGCAATGACAACATCGATGGAAGTTTTGCAAAAAGATTTGTGTAACATTGGTTTAAAACCTTCTGCTACACTATTCAAGCATGACTGAAGAACGAAGATTTATAAAATCAACTCCATTAATCTAGGATATGGCTAATAATGATGATGATGCTTTTTATTGTTAGGACTATAGTATCTTTATTTGATGAAGTAAAACTTTTGCCATGTAAAATTGATTTAGGAATCTGTTAACAAAATTTTTTGGAAGTTGTGCAAAAAGATTTGTGTAGCATTGGTTTAAAACGTTCTGCTACACTATGCAAGCATGACTGAACAACTCCATTAATCTAGGATATGGCTATAAATGATTATGATGCTATTTATTGTTAGGACTATAATATCTTTATTTGATGAATTAAAACTTTTGGCATGTCAAATTGATTTAGAAATCTGTTAACAAAATATTTTGGAGTTTTATGGAACCCTCCAAAGCATTTCAGAAGCTTCATGCTTTCAGGAGTTTCCAATTGATACCCAGAGGCTTCAAAATGGATGAAGGGAATATTTTTCATGGTGTTTAGCAAGTAGAGCACGCACAAACATGAAAAGGGGCCATGTAGTAGAAAAGTCAAAATAGTGCGAAATAAAAAAAAAGGCTTAAATTTTGGAGTCAAGATTGAATTGTATAAGAAAACCTCATTTACTTTGCTATGTCCATGTATATGGAGGAGATTTCCAAGAGATTTAATGTTTTTTCTTGCTTTTAGAATCTGTTCCTATTTTTTTGCTTTCTTTGAACCTTGAGTTTGAATTGCTATTTTAAATTTCTTTCTTTTAATTTGTATTTAGAGGATCATGCACTCATCATATGAAAGCTAATCAAGAATTTCTGTGCTTTGATCCTTGCCTCACCAAACCCTGTCTCTCTTCATCTTTTTTATCTCTATATCCATTAGTCGTAAGATGGAAAAATTGATATCCCCTTCTTCTTAAGCTCTATCCCACTTCAAATATGTATAACCATCTCTTTGCATGCCCAAGGACTTAGAGATGTTTGGAGGAGTGCAATTGCAATGAAAATGAAGAGCAAGCCCTAGACCATCAAGAAAGGAAGGAAGAACTATATATTCTGAAGGTAGACAAGTTGGAGTTCTAGTTTTCATTATATCGGATACATATATTTTCCAATTACCAATTTAATCAATCTATTATGTTCAGCAAGCTCAATCATATCATAATCATCAGCCATTCACATTCATCAATTATTTGAAACCTTGATAGCTCCCTTATTTTGTGTTCTAGTAGATTATTTAAGTGGTGATTTATTGGGTTGACATTAGTTCAACCTTTTGTAGTTAGATCTACAAAACCAAATCACAAATAGAAGCTTCAATAATGCCTGATTGGCAACTTAACTCATGGATATCCAATTGCTACATGTCATCAAGAAGGATATAAGGCCAATATACATTTTGTCACAATATCGTTCTCAATTTTCAAGGGCAATGAGTACATGTAAAATGGTGAAAACCTGTACAATACTTACCATCAATGAACCTTTCAGGCTAATGAGTTGATAATATCACAAGGGTGAAATTGCAACATTGTTGCTACTATTACTACTACTGCAACAACAACATCATCATCATCATGCCTTTATCTCACTGTGAGGTCGACTACATGAATTATTTTTCTCCATTGTGTCCGTCAAACTTAAAACCTAAAGTTAGGATTGATTGTCCTAAAAAACAAACTAAAGTGTGTGCTATCCTGTGCGGGTGTCAAACTATTAGGTTTTAAATTTCATTTTCTAATTTTGATTTTATTTAATATCCGAGGTTTGTTTAAGTTCAACTATTAGTGTGTTAAGATTCAATTAAAATTTTAAGATTTATTGTTTGAGTTATAATTTTATGTTCTTAAGAAAAAATTTGTGAACAAATTTTATTATCTTCGGACTCTATTTAGTATTTAGTAATAATCACTAACACAAAAACAAAAATGCAATTATTTCACCTAAGAAGGTTGATTTTTATCTTTTTTAATACTTAAAGATTTTATTTCAAGTGTGTTGGGTTGGTTTTAGGAAAGTTTATTAAAGTTTTAATTATATTTAATTATATTTTGATTTAGGTTTGATTTTTAATTCTATATTGATTCCTTTCTTAATTAACATTTTGAATTTAATTAATTTTAATTCTTTAATTCTTTTACTTTATTTAGCCCCTTAAGGATCTATAAAGGAAGCTTTAATTCTAAATTTTATTTTGTTTTATTCGATGTGGGTTATTGTTCGTTACAATTTTAGGAATTCAAATGAATTTATTATATATTTATATGATTTTTTAAAATGTTAATGAATTATCTAATTTTAGGTCTTTAGGGGATTTATTTAATTTGAGGATGGAAATGAGATGTTAATTATTTGTTATGATTTTATATGCTTCTAGAAATTTATTGAGAGGTTTGATGGAGACTTATAGAGAGAACAAGAAGGATCTACATATTAAAAAAAGGCGGATCTACATATGATATTTATTGATTTAGAGAAAGCATTTGATAAAGCTTCAAGAGAAGTGCTATGGAGATTTATAGAAAAGAAGGGGGTCAATAATGCTTTATATTTAAGTCATTAAGGATATGTATGTAGGAGATGTTACTTGTGTCCAGACACAAGGTAGTTTGACCAAGTATTTTCCTATTTCAATTGGATTACATCAAGGATTAGCCTTAAGCCCATATCTTTTTGCTTTAGTCTTGCATGTTCTCACTAGACATTTGCAAGAGGTTGTACACTTGTGTATGCTCATTTTGAATTATAATATAAATAGTATAACTGATGATAATTCAGATCATTCTTCTGAAACTTCAGAAATAGCTATGAATGGATTAATAGAAGCAGTTGATCGTTGGAATAACCAATAATGCAAAATATTCCAAATACTGCGAACATATATTAGAAATAGGAAAAGTTAGTATGAGTAGAGAATGTTTATATTGTAAATATTATCCTAATAATAATCATGGATATCAATGCCAAAAAAGTCTCAAAATTTTCCAGAAGCGACTCTGAAGGCGCATTTGGCGGGGTTGAGTCGTATATTGTAACGTCTCAACAAATGGAAACAATTCTTCAAGTCGAAGAAATGTTGAGACTTTTCGAGACTCTTCACCAACATGTCGTCCACGTACACCTCCATATTATGTCCAATAAGGGTTTTGAAAACGTTATTCATAAGGCGTTGATAAGTTGCTCCAGCATTCTTGAGCCTGAAGGGCATCACTCGATAACAATACAACCCTCTGTCTATTTGAAATGCTGTCGCTTCTTCATCAGTCAGATTCATCTTGATTTGGTTGTAATCAGAGTAGGCGTCCATGAAACTCAACATCTGATGTCCAGAGGTGGTATCGACTAACTGGTCGATAGGAAGCGGAAAGCTTTCCTTTGGGCAGGCTTTATTGAGATCTTTATAGTCTATACGCATCCTCCATGCTCCACTCCCCTTTCGAACCATGACAACATTTGCCAGCCAAGTAGGATAGTGCACCTCTCGAATGAATCCGGCTTCTAAGAGTTTGTCAACTTTTTTTCCGATCACTTGCTAGCGATCTGGTGCAAAATTCTGTTTCTTCTGGATGATTGGTTTGCATGCCGGATTGACTTTAAGGGAGTGTACAATTACTTCGGGGTCAATCACGGGCATATCCGCCGGGATCCATGCGAAAACATCCTGATTTTCTGGTAGAAAATCTGTTAATTCTTTCTTTTCGTCGTCTGAGAGAAGTGATCCAATCTGTATTGTCTTTGAAGGATATTTTTCAGTGATAGACACAGTAGTGAGTTCTTCTACGGGGGAAGCTCTCTAAGGATGTCCTCGTTCCGGAGATCAAAGTCCTCAATGCTTAAAGTATCCGTCAGGCGTGCTTTGACCTGCCTGAGATAGCAGGTTTGTGCTATTTGTTGATCTCCGCACACCACACTAACTTCTGTCGGAGTGTGAAACTTCAGCTTGAGGTGAGGGATAGAGGCGACATTCCCCAAAAATTGACTGGAGTGGCCTCCCAAAGATAGCGTTGTAAGCCGATTCAGACTTTACAACGACGAACTGGACAGAGTGTGTAGATTGCCGGGGGAATTCTCCAAGCACAACTAGGAGACT